CGTCAATGGCACAGCCTTGGGCTCCATCATAACAACAGAGTTTAGAGACTTAAATTCAAATCCACAGACAGGATCAAATATGGTCAGAGTATAATCAATCAAAGTGACCATACCAAATATGGCTAACTCTTGAGTTCAAATACATAAGGTTACTATTTGGAAATGGTTCTGTTATCATGTGTTCTGTTGATTGTTGCCATGTGGCAAATGAAAAGTTGAAACAGAATATCACAGTGCAAATTCGAAAAATAGAAAGAAACAAATGACAAGTGAACCATGAGAGTATCTAGCTTGAATATTTTATGGAAATATAGTATGCATATTATAAGCCATGGGATCCTGGTGTGGTACTGTAAGATAAGTAATTGTCTGCAAGGTCGGTTTGAACCACAAAGTTGGCAATTTAAACTCTTTGAAAATAAAACTTTTGTATTTTGATTCATGCCAAACACATGCATTCATTACATTTTGGGAGTCTGAAAATTTTGGCCTGTGCTAGGCAGGGACTGCCTATGTGAGCAGAGCCCAATAAAAACAGTGAACACTGAGTTTCTAATGAACTTCCCTATTTGACAACATTTACAACTCCACTGGAGAGAACCTTTGAAACCAAGTACCTTGTTTCCTTAGAACTTTGCTCCATTTACCATTCCCCTTTGTTGAACTCTTTACCTTTTTGTTATAACAAATATTGGCCATGGATATGACTCAAATATATACTGAGTCTTGTGAATTTACAATAACTGAACTTTGGATTGTCTTTGACAACCTCCACTTAAATAATATAAGAACTTGGTTGTTAACATATCTCAGAGTATTTTATTAATACTTTAGGTTTCATTGTACTTGTCCTGCCCCTTTGAAAACTGATCCTTTAAAAAACTGTCTCTAAATTGCCCAATTTGAGCACATAATCACCCTTTTTCAGAGTCACACAATAATTGCAGCTATTGCACATAAAAAATATTGGTGATGATTTCATCAGTTGTTGGAAACAATACAACCAGAATGCTCCTTAGAAGCCAAGACAATATGTCTGTTCAACTTTGGCTAAATATCAGGAGGGACCTGTCCCAGGATAAGGACATCATGCATGGTAAAATGGAGGGTCAGTGAAAAAGAGGAAGACCCTCAGCGAGATGAACTGGTACAGTGGCAGCAGCAGTGGGCTCAAGTGTATCAACATTTGTGAGGTTGGTGCAGGACTGGGCAGTATGTTGTTCTGTTATGCAAAAAGTCTCTGAGTCGATGGCACCTAACAACTACAAAAGTTTAAACAATTGATTCAATTCTGTGCACACTTTTTTCCCCCCAAAAAAAGGATTAATTATTTTAAAACAAAGATGACATAGTAACCTATGCTGTTCAATGCTTATTGAATGAAAAAATGTGAAGAGATTGTTGTTAGGTGCTATCAAGTTGGCACCAATCCATAGCAACCTTATGCATAGTAGAATGAAACACTGCCCGATCCTGGGCCAACCTTACTACTATTGCCACACTTGAGTCCATTGATGCTGCCAATTGGTCAATCCATCTCGTTGGGG